AGGTATGTATAAAGTATGGTATGTATTTAAAGTATTAATTTAAATATGGCAAATTAGTCGATTAACCATTTCTGATGGTGTACAAATATTTTGCAGCCATTCTAGATGTCATTTTGTTCTCTCCAAGTATAAAGTTTATGTGAGTCGTTTATTATATGATTAATCATTTAATGTTTCTCTCGCTGCTGTGCGCGCATTCAGCTGCGACATGGTAATGCAAAAACGCATACAAATAACGGCAACTTTAGAATGCGAAAGTAAAACCTGAATCCTGGACATTTTAGGAGATTCAGAAACTACGGTCGGATGCATTTTGGTGGAAAAGGCGCGTCTCTGTGGGTCTGCAGAGCACGTGAGAATTTCTGTGAGTGACAGATTGCGCACACACAGAAGCAGCAGTAGGAAACGTGCAGAGCGAGAGAAGATCGATCGTGAATGTTTAGTTTTCTTGGAGGGATACAAAAAAAATGTATGAGGTCTTTCTCTTTTAGATGGCGGTCAAATTGACGCTGATTCAGGCTTCTGGATGGGATGAAATTAAGTTTGCTATTGCGCCATCCAGTGGACACAATTGGAACAGCAGTATATTTTATTGTAAAAAGGTAGCTCACAGAATCATCTCGCGGGCTGCATTAAATCCGTTTGCGGGCCTGATCTGGCCTGCAGGCTATACCTTTGACACCCCTGTTGTAAATCATTCATTCATTCATTCGTTCGTTTTCTTTTCAGCTTAGTCCCTTTATTGATCTGGGGTCGCCACAGCGGAACGAACCACCAACTTATCCAGCATATGTTTTATGCAGCATATCAAGCTGCAACATATCACTGGGAAACATCTCCAGTAAACATATTCTTCCATTGTATATTTACATTCAAGGTCTAAATCTGATCAGATATCTTGTTTTTCATGGGAATCGCACCCATAGCCATCCACAATGTTCTCCAGTCTGACCTACAGCAAAGGCACATAAGCTGCAGTTTGATCCAGGCTTTGCAAAATCTGCCTATGCAGGTCTAGGGAAACAAAAGTCTCCGAGCCTTCATCCTGATTCCTCCTCTCTCTCTCTCTCTCTCTCTCTCTCTCTCCGTTCGATGGGCATTGATTACCCAGTGCCTGACGCCCGGGTCCCATCGCGGAGTAAGTGGATACAGCTCTTTACCTCCTACAAGCCTGTATGCGGCCCAGCAGGGACAGGTCCAGGTAAATGAATAGTGTTCTCGCGCATAGTAGATTTCACTAATGTATCTGCTATTGATGGAGACAACATGAGTAGCTTCGCCTTTACTTAATACAAAACATTCATCTGCCAAAGGAGATCAGCAAGAGAGAAGGGAGCGTTCACTGTTAAAGAAAAATCTGTCAAATTTACGGTAAGAAACGGTAGCTTTGGTTGCAAGAGTTTAATGGTAGGAACGAAATGTGTACATTTTATGGTAAATTACTGAATTTCATTTACAGTTGAAGTCAGAATTATTAGCCCCCCTGGTTATTTTTCTGTTTATATATATATATATATATATATATATATATATATATATATA